AGCAGGCTCAACAATGAGAGGGGCACTGGGGGCAGCAAAAGTTCTAGCTCATCCAAAGCCTATAAGGAGCTCCAAGGATGAATGTTAGCGGTTGGAAGGAAGGTATTCTTTGGTGGGGGACATGCCACAACAAATTCTCTACCTGACTCTTTGCTGTCTGGTGTACTGGTCACTTAAGACCCTCATACTTTGCACAGCTGTTTACTCAGTCCCCCTTCCACTCACTCATCCACTCATTGTGGAAAGCAGGGTGGGGAACCTAAGGCCCAGGGGCTGGCTGTGGCCCCTGGCTTCTTGGATCCAGCCCCTGAGGCTCAGGGCTCCCCCTCCCCACCATTGAGAAGCCTATGCCAGTGCTCCAACCTTTCCTGCTACCCCACCACAGGGCTGGAGCACACACAATCTACTAGCCTCGGCCCCCCACTATGCTCTGGTGTGCAAGGGAAATGTGGGCAGTTGGGAGCCATGTCAATGAGGGTTGTGTGGGGTTAGTTTTTGTTTTGTTTTTTTGCTTCTCACTTGTGAGCAGCCCCTTACTGTTTTTTCTGTGGGTAGGTGATCCCTGACCCCAAAAAGGTTCCCCACCCCTGTGTAAAGCCATGGATTTTGTCTAATTCATGCTTTTCATGTTCACTATGAAACAGATGCTCCTTTCCGTCTTCACTGGCTTCAGCCACTTAATCAAACTTTCAAACTATACTCTGACAATAGATGAAAATAGGCCCTTCAGACATTTTTATGACCAGACTAACACTGTCTCTCACCCCGCTTCTACAATAAAATATCTGCTTGATATTACCACCTCAGTCTGGAGTATGCATGCAGAAGACGGAGTTGGCACCTGTTGCTCTTTGAGCCCTGATCCGTCTGGACAGTCTGCTGTCCACGTATTTTTCTGTAGTATCATCTGTGCCAGTAGGCTGCAGCATCGGGCTTTCCTCTGCAATGAAATCAGAGACTGCTGTCGGGGAGCTTCTCAGATGAAAAAGACTATACTAAGAATAACGAGTGCTTAGAATAATGATTAATATTTTCAAGGCCATAGGAAGAAATGACCCTCTATGTCCTCCCACATTTATTCCTTGGTCCAACCATGCCTGTGTCCTGTCTCCAACATCTGATACATCAGAAGAATTAAAAAAAAAATCTCTGTGTCCAGCCCTGTGTATAATTCTGGACATGGTGTGTGTCTGTGTGGCAGGATGATGCCCTAAAGTAGACCATTCTATGCTTTGAAGCATGATGTTTAATTATTTGTAATGTTACTGCAAAATGCAGTGTTACAAAGTGGCATTAATGGTGGTAAAATTGCCCAGTTTTTTTTAAATGTTCAGCACTAAAAGCAGGGCACTGGCGCTAAACTGCTATAGGCCCACTGAAGCCAATGAAGATGAATCTGTTTATAATAGCTGAAGCTCTGCACCCATCTCCCACACCGGTCTTTTTCCTCACAAGTGTCACCTCAGCTTACAGTGATGTTTCCCACTTTGACTCTTGATTAGCTGCTCTATGATTTCTTTTTCTAGGGTTTGATCTCTACATAGGCTATGTGGCATAAGGGAGGACACAGAATGACTGGGCTTGGCTTAACTTTCCTAATTTGCCCTGATCCATAGCTGAAAACCTGTGTGTGGCTCTTTCACTGGGTCTGTCCCAGCTGCCAGTGATGTTTGTGGGGATTTTTGTGTGACAACCACTGGCAAGATGTGACCTATCACAGGAGAAGCCAGCCTGTTGCTGGTTCAGAAAAGACTTTTGAAAATGATAAATCACAGTTGCAATGTTTAGAGATGGGTGGACCAATCAGGGCTTTGCCCAGCAACATACATACCAGAAAGCATGGTATGTAGCCAAAGATCATATCCTACTGTGCAGCTTCACCCAAGTTGCTCCTGTCTTTCTCCTCACAATTTAGCCTCTGGGCTACTCACCTCATACAAATTCCTCTCTTCCTTAACAGTCTCTGCCTGTGAGAGAACTTGCTGCCCTGTTCTGCATACTGAAAGAGAATGTGTTGCCCTGGTCAGCAAGGGTTTCACAACTAATAAATTGGACATTAACATTGTCTGTCAGTCCAGTTTTGAGAGAGGCATAAAGCAAATCTGTCCCACTCAAAGAAAAAAAGCTTCATAGCTACCATTGGTAGAGGCTAAAGAAGCAACCAAACCTGAACTTGCCACCAGCAAAATGTTAAAATGCTTAAACATACTGCCTTGCACTTCAGTTGTGTTTATTTTCTAGTGTTCCTCTGCTTGCAGCTTCACCAGTGTCAGCAAAAACCCCTGGGTTATTTGCTATCTGGTATCTCCCGGAAGCAGCTCCAATACATTCCAGAAAGGTTTCCTCCCAGCAATTATACTGAAACCCAACTGAGCACTTTCCAGAGTGTTCCAGGAATTAGCCTCATCTGACTGATCACATCACAGAAAAGAAACTAAAGGGGATTATTTTTATTTTAACGTTAGTAGTTCCCAGCATATGTTGCAGTAACTACTCCTCTAAAACCCCAGAACAAAGATCATGCAGTCCTGCACACCACATAGGCCTTGTAGTCTAAGATGATGATCGGACTGGGAAGCAACTCTACTTGGTGAGAGAGAGGACTTGATAAATCAAGACATAATTACATGTGGTGAGGAGTGGACAAGGGCACTGTGTGAGCAAAGACATTGGGCAACTGTTAGCACTGGTTGGAACACTTGTTAAAACATTCTGGTTTGTCAAAGTGTAATGTGAAGATTGGGGAACATGAGACAGAGACCTATGTGCTATTGCCTGATTTTTCACGCTACTGGCCCAGGATGTGAGTGCTCCAGATTCAAGTCCTTGCTCTTTCAAATTTAGAGTGATCTGGGATGAAAAATGCTGCTCTGACTCAGGAAGTAGAAACTTCCTTCCCCCGCCTGGCATCCCCTCCTGAATCCAGACTCCTTCCAGGATCCCCCTTCTTAAGCCTGAACCCCCTCATTCCCAGCTGCACTCCCCAGCTGGAGCTTTCACCCCCCTATCCTGTGCCTCAACTCCCTGCCTTAGCCTGGTGCAAGTGAGTGAGAGTGGGGAAGAGTGAGGGAGATGGAGTTGGGGGGAGGCTTGCAGAAGGTGTGAGGCAGAGGTGTTTGGGTTTTGTGTGATTAGAAAGTTAGCAACTTTATCCTCACGCCAGCTCCATTCCCCATTCCAGCCTCAGACGTTCCTTCAGTTGCAATCCTAGCCTTGACTCACTTACCGCTCTCCATGCCCCATCTGACCCCCGGAACCTCAGCTCCACTCCTGGCCTTGGTTCCCATGAAGAGGTGTGGACATAGCTTAAGGCTGAGCATGCTCCTGAAAAGGTTGGGGACCACTGTTCTAAAGGTTTTGAAACTTTGAGAGTTGCCACAGAACTGTCTGCCTGTGGTCAGCTTTAGTGACAATACTCACCTGTACTACTTCTGCTGTGCTCTTATCAGCTGTTTATAAAAGTGTAGCATGTACAGGCAGTCCCCGAGTTACGCGGATCCAACTTAAGTCGGATCCACACTTACAAACGGGGCTTTCTCGGCCCGGAGCTCACAGGCAGCGGGACCACCCAGAGCGCAGCGGTCCCGCCACCTTGACCTCCAGGGAGAGAAAAGCTGCTCCGGGTGACCCTGGTCTGCTGGGGACCGTCTCCAGCAGACCAGGGACACCTGGAGCAAAGCCAGGGAGGTGGAGGGGTCCCGCGCCTCTGAGGCTTTGCTCCCCATGTCCCTGGTCTGCTGGGGGGGCGCAGCTAGTGCACCCCCTCCTCCCCCGTAGACCAGGCTTTTGTTTTGGACCCTGGGGTAGAGCAGCTGGGGTGCTGCCGGGTTGGTCCTGCAGGGACCTACCTGGCAGCCCAGCTGTTCTGTCC